GAGAAGATGTAATTTGGATGCTTCTGGTCAAAGTTCAGCAGTGTAGGTGTGTTTGCTGCTATTTTATAATCTTATTTTTCATTGTTACTGTTTTATTATCTTCTGATAAAAGTCAACAGTTATGTGAATAGTTGGTGTTGTAAAGAAAATCATGCTATAAGAGATATATAGCTTTGGATCTGTGCTAGTAATTTGCCAGTATTGTGCTCACTCACCTCGGCACTCACATTCCTCATCATGAATAGTGAATTTGGGACAGGATACTGCTGGGGCAGGGGGAAGGAATGGGAAAGGAGGGGCTTACCATAAGCCATTTCTCAGCAATAACTAGGAGTTTTGGTATAGATAGGGAACACACAAGTTGCTAAGTTTTAAAAGGAAAGAGTCTCAAAGAGAATTGTACTTGGAAACTAGGAAAGGCACAGGAACTGTTAATTGTCAAAGACATCAGGTATAGCTCAGTCTACTTAGTTCCAGGCTGCCTTAATTAACTGTTAGGGATAATGCCATGCAAATATTTAAAAAAAATATTCAGGAAAGGGAAAAAAAGAGTAATTGCTGTGGCTGATGGAATAAAATTTTTTACAAGGTGGTCTTAGCACACTGTACCACGTGGCCATGGACTGAGCATGGGGCTGCAGCCTGGATACACTGCCCTGCCAAGCATGAGGTGCAATGGACTTGTGCCAGTCTGAGGTACAAGGGTGTTGTGTTGTATGTGAGCAGTGCAGGCAGGAGGTGGCACTTCTCATGGTGCACACCTTGAGAGACCGAAAAGGGAACATTTGCATGCATTTACAACGTCTGTGTCCAAAAAGGCTCTTGGTAGTTTTTACTGTGCTTGTACCTTTCAAGCCAAACCACTGTTCCACTAATTGCCTGATCTGACAACGTAACATTGTACCTTTTCTGGTGTTTACCTCCTGGATTCAATGCACAGTGCAAAAAGGAAGTTCCTGGTTCATTACTGGAACAACGTGGTTAGCAGGCTCCCAGGCAGGCCCAGCTGTGTCTGGAGTCTTACGAAAGGGTAAACAAGCTCAGATTTGCCACATGTATTACTCAATTAACCTGAAAACAATGCTCCAGATTTGAGCTTTAGTGTTGGCATCTTGTGTATCATCTTATGAATAAGGTGAAAATATTGCCTATTAATAACTTGTGGTTCTTAGATGCTGCAATTTTACATTGTGATACTACTTCCCTGTTTTTCCTCTATTTTCCCCTAGGTGTTTTTCTTGATATGTTGATTATACCTAATTAGAAAACACTTATATTTGGAAATCAAGTATTTCTTCAGAGGAGGAAAATATAAGAAGTAATGGCAGCACTAAACAGGTCACAGATGATGTCTGTTGATGTTTGCTGCTGAAGGTTTCATGTGACTTATGTACTGCTACTGACTTGAAACACATACACATTTGAAAATGTATCAAGACAAAGTACCTTCTGTAAAATCCTTTCTAAAACGAATTTGTGAGGACAGATGGCTGTTGGGCTAGAGCAGTAAAGTGGTTTTTCAGTGAGTGTCAATTTGCTGCTTTCTGTGGTATCACCAACTTAGAAATTCCTATAATCTGTTCCTTGGAGTGTATTTCCTCTCACTTTTTTTGGGTGAGAAACTTTAGACTTGGTTTAGTTACTAACAAATGACACTCAACCAGACAGTTTCCAGAAGTCACAGATCCTTATATTTAATATCAAGCAGCCTTGGCTTAGACTGGGTGTGAGGGTTTTACTGTCTCTGCCTTTGAACACAGAACTTTACTAGTCTCAGTAGTATTATTGACCTCTGCTATAATTTTGCACAAGACAGTACTTACTGTTCTTCCTGGAATTGCTCCTAACCTTACTGCCCACATGACTGGAAACTATGCCGTTCTGTGTATCTAATAAACTGCAGGAGCAATACAGAACATAAGCACTAAGGTGCAAGTGTTGAAAAAAAATATAAAATTAAGGCTCATCTCTGACATGCATCTGGTAACTCCCAATATTTTCTGTCACAAAGACCAGAGGTTAGTGTCTGTAAATCTTATTTGCACTGATAAAGCTGACTTTGGGTTATAGTGAATGAGAACGGGATTTGAACACTGCAAGAGGAAGAAAAGAAAACACTGCATTACTAAAAATGGAGTCCTTGCTGGTTGAGCATCCTTGATCTTTTGCAGCATTCATGGGTAAAGCATTCTTTCTTCATTACAAAGCAAAGAACACAAACACAGGTTTAAACCAGATTTATTGAAAATCGCAGTTTTGCATAATTATTCAACATCTGCAAGTCTTAAAACAATTCTGAATAAAAAGTCCATTAAGAAAAAAAAAGTAGATTTATACTCTCCTTTGTAAATTTTATACAATCAAAAGCAATCTACTCTTCAAAATCCAAATGAAATTTTATCTGCAAGTTTAAATGCCAAATCCTTTGCCTATGATAAACATACTCCAGCTGCCAAAGTCAATGCAGTTTACCTTTCTAGTTCTTCCCTCTTTAACTTTCTATAGAAAACCTTGAATGAGGAGAAAATACAGTCAGAGCTCTTAGTTGCAAAACAATAATTTCTTCCAGCTGACAATTGTTGTGTTATTTTCCTTCTGCCAGAGATTGCTGTTTGTACTGGGAGAAACAACTGCAGCAGCCTTGTCTTTGATCAGAGCAGTCTGCATTCATTAGCAGGTTAAACTAATACACCCAACTCTTTCACCACTGTCAGAGAGGCACAGCAGAGCAGCTGGGGAACCTAATCCCTTAAGGTGCCCTTGGAAAACTTGGCAGAGCTTATCTGTTGGCATTCTAAGCTGAAATCTAGAATCTAGTAGCTTTGATACAAGAGGTAGATGTCTTAGTCGCAGCTTGACAGAGCTAGTTCAGCATTCTGCAGATGGTTTGTAGCATCAGGCTCATGGCAATGCAAGTGAAGAGAGCTACCTGGTCTATTGGTTCTGAGATGTACAGGGAAATGGCAGGAGAACATTATTTGTAACTCTAGCTGAAAGAATTATT